TCCCTGATAATTGGTTGCAATTGCTAATCACTTTCGATTCACCAGCAGGGTTAGGGTGTTAATAATTATTTAATTTGAGCATACCTTGTTCTTTAAAGGGTGTTATTTAATTTGAGTGTCTGTACCACAATAATGATTATTAGATTTAATTATTCAGTCTTTATAATTTAGTTTCTCTATTTTTGTTAGATCATTAGCCCTTGCCATCGATTTATCTAAGTCAGTCTAGCGGAAAATTAAGAGAAAGGAGCTACTTGATGTTAGCCCACGTTTATGACCAATTTAACAGGTTTCATAATTCCAATAAATTTTGTTCTCGTACAATAACATTTATGATAGGAAAATTTGTATTTTAGTATTTTCTGAAGTCAATCATTTTTACTTGATTTATATATATAGTAACTTTTGTAATGTGAGAAAGTTTTAACAAAACTGTAATTGATCAATCACCATAGATTTCATTTTGTTTCTGGTTGGGCAGCTTGTGTAAATGAGTATAACACTTTCTAATCCCCAGCTAGTGATTGAAAAATCAACAGAATGTGGCAAAACTGATGTTAAATCAATAGTGAATAGTTTAACATCAATAGTGAATAGTAGTGAATAGTTGTACTTTTATTTCCGTATTGGCTGGCATGTTAGTATTTTTTTCTTTACGCTGAAATCTAATGAGAATTGGTGAAAAATTAGAACTCAAGGTACATCAGTAGAGCATGTTAAACAGTGTACACTCGCTAGGATTGTATGTGCTGGTGTGAATAACAGACGCTAAAATCGTTGGATTGAAGTTGTACCATGGAAATAATTATTGGCGTGGAATGTTAATAATTACAGTGTTATTGGCGGCATTTGATGTAGATTTTCTTCACAGACTTTTATCGAAAATACTGTTGCAACATTTTTACATAAAGTTCAGCGTGGCATTCCAGGATTTTTGTACATAGTAGGAATATTAATGAAAGAATTGCAAGTACTGAGAACGGATCTAAATTGCGAGGGAGATATATTGGGTAATTGTGAAAAAGGATTTATTACTAATCTAAAGGTAAAACATTTTTTTACCAGGAATAGTTGATGAGTTGTTAAGCTTGATGTAAATGATAAAATTATGACACTTAATATAATTTAATGAAATTAAGAACAAGTTGTTGTAGTAAAATTAGTATGGGGAAGATTGTGAATAGAAAAATATCTTTCTTAATTGAATAGAGTAATGATTACGTGAAAATGTTAAATGGAGGAAAAAACCCGCAATAAAATAATTTGTTATTATTTTTGTATGTTTGAGTATAGAAGAAAATTGTTGTTGAAGTTTTTGTTCGAAAATTCTGTTTTGGCTTCCATGTCATTGTTAATGGTGAAAAATGAAAGATTAGCACGGCCTTCCGCATCTTGTAGTTTAGTGATGTGATTAATCATTGTTCTTGTGAATCAGAATGTAGGTCTTATCATAGGGGGAGGTGAACTTGACAGAATTTATCTTCTTCCCTGTCAGCTATTATGTCTCAAACTTCTGCTAGTGCTGTTAGGTGAGGAAGTTACTGTGTTGTCTGCTTTTTTGTCCGTCTGCTCATGCACATGTCTGTTTTCATTCATTATCAGCATGATTAAAAGATAATTATTTAAAAAATCATTCAACATTAGCACATACATATAACATACATCTAATTTTGTCCTTCTGCTCAAATTTCCATCTTCCTACATGCCCGTCTGCTACTTGTATGTCTGTCTGCTGTAACTTATGCGTCTGCTCACTCTGCTGCATTATTTTCCATCTTCTTAAATGTCCGTTTGTCCATCTGCTGTTACTTTTTTGTCTGTTGTTTCTTGTATTGTCTGTCTGCTGTTTACATGTCTTTCTGTTATTTACATGTATTTCTGCTATTTACATTACTATTGTCTTTTTGCTGCTCACATTCATCTGCTGCTTACAAGTCCATCTGCTATTTACATGTCTTTATAATTCTTACTTGTCTGTCTGTCTGTAGCTTTCATATGCAATGTTTACATATACATATGTTTACATGTCCATCTATTCACAATCATGTCCATCTGCACTGTTTACATGTCCATCTGCACTGCACTTGTCTCGCTGTTTCCTTGACCATATTGCTTACATGTTCTTGTGTCCATTTTTTCATTTGTGTGTCCATCTGTACATTCTTTAAATGCTCTACAAATAATAAATCATAATGTTCTCATGATAAACTGTGTCTTAATTATACTGATGTTGTTACTTAAAGCTTCTGAAAGTTCAAAGTTTTTGCTATGAACAGGATGTTAAAGATTGTTCTCAGATGTATCAAATGTGCTTTTTGAAGGATTTGAAAAGATAAACAAAAACATAGGAATGATTTATCAGATGGGTAACTAAAAGTAGTTATAAAGCTAATTCTAGGGTATTTCATTTCATGTAGATTCTGTTTACAAATTTGGATGTTGATTAAATCTATATTATGATATTGAATATACATTTTCAGTGAAGAACCTTTTTAAAAATGATCTTAAACTTTGATTGTAATGTATAACAACAATTATTTCTTTCTATACTTTAATATTATATTCAACATTTATTTGTATGGATATTTTGTATAGAGATGTTTTTTTGATACGGATATTTTGTTCCGACATTTTCCTTATTCTCTTGAATACATTGATTATTCCGGTGCTTTGAGCAAATCTCCCTGATTGATGGCAGAAATGCAAATGCATTTGGTTGTAGGAAAGCATAGTTGATTATAGCTGTCTCAAACTGGATCACTTGTTGACTAGGACACAAATATTGGTCGATTTTTTTAATATCAAGTCTTTTATATTTATGTTGCTATACGACACGTAATAACTTCAATGAAATTTTAAGGAAACATTTTTGAATGAAAGATGGTAGAATTTCCAATATTGCTTTTTTATCCAATTATTTTGTCTTAAAAAGTGAAAGAATATGATGTATGTGTCTATTCTAATAAACTTGCATTTAAAAAAAAAAGAGAGGGAGAGAAAAAAAAACCGATGCTGTCAAATAGATATTTCTTAAGATGAATGTAGGGGAAAATATAAAGCACAAACTTTCTTCAGAAAGGTCACAGTTGAAAGGATTGGGGATATGGAGACTTGATTGCAATAGCAGAGTACAAGAACAGTAATTCTATTTATCTGACGCTTTTTAACCTTTAACCTGTGCTAGTGAAATGAATTCCAGAGCAAGGTCATTGAGGATACTTGTTTGAATTTCTGAAAATATGCCTGAATTTTATTTTTAAGAATTTTTCCTCAAAACTCATATAAAGCTTGAAATTGGAGAAATGAAAAGAAATTTGAAAAACGAGTTATTGCACTATTACTAACAAAGGTGAAAGTTGTAATTTTTCAATGTTTTATGGTTTTAGAAATATAAGTTGTGTTTTAGAAAGAATAAATCTTGGAATGTGGAGTAGAACTCTTTGTTTTTGTTCCTCAGTAGACAACATTACCATCATAAGACACCTTATCTTAACAATTTGCACTTCAACAGATGTGAATAGATCTGAGATTATACAGTAGTGCACTCTCAAACTTTCACTACATGCCAAAATACGAGTGTGTTTTCGGAGAAGAAAAATCTGCTGCTTTGAAAGAAAATATCTGCACTTTTATATATAGACAGCCTTTGTTGTTTGCCCGCGTGTAATCAATTAATGAACTTGATGTATGGTGTATTGTGTGGCGAAACATTTTTATTTCGAATAAATGGTACGTTTTTGTGGTGTGGTTAATAAGGCGCAGGTTCGGGACAAAAGCTCGGGTTGCAAGGGTCGTTCCGGTGCGAGGCCTTGAACACACTGTGAACATAAATAATCGCTTAATTATTCGTTCAATATTTGATAGGGATGAAATGGAAAATGGATTGTTTTTATCGATTTTGATATTTTAGAAATATAAATGACATGCATAAAAGGGCATTGTTTATTCTTACATGAGATTGTGGTTTCATTGTGATACTTTCCTTACAGTCTCTCGAGTGAAATTAATAAAGTTTCAGTATTCATTTTCTAGCCTAGATTAGATTTTCGTGTGCTAGTGTTTCTGTGTTTATTCAATAGTTAAAAAGGCAATATTTCAAAATGGTCCCAGGTGATGTTAAATAGAGTGTCAGGTTATAGTTAATTTGAGTCATAATTGTATAGTACGTTCTCACTGAGCCAGTATCTAATGATACATCTATATAATGGGAATGGGTGACTGGTATATACAAACAAATTTCTAGCTTTTTTGACTGATAAATTTGGATAAAATTGTTTACGATTTTGAAGTCATCATATTTTTCTATTTTTGTTTTGTTTTTGCTTTCAATGATAAGTGAAGCCTTGGGGAATAAGTGAACAATGTTGATTGAAACTTGAATAGGGGAGAAAAAGTATGAACAAAATGTTTTGTTTTGTTAGAAAATTAAGATCCATTAAAACGAGTTGGACAGTTATAGCTGATATTTTCGGCTATTTTAACAGTTAGAACTGTGTTGTATGATGAAACATACACTGTACCACATTGTCATCAACGTAACAGTAGTTCATGCATATAGTAATTATTATAATGTATTTTGTTGGTTATTTAACAATTAACCAGGTTATATTGTCGAAACATGTTGTTGGGAATGAGTAAATGTGTAGTCAACAATATATGTGTAGGTTTGTTAATAATAGCCTATATGAGCCATGTCACGACAAAACCAACATAGTGGGTTTGCGACCAGCATGGATCCAGACCAGCCTGCACGTCAGTGCAGTCTGATCAGGATCCATGCTGTTCGCTATCAGTTCTCTACTTGTAATAGAGTTGGTAAGCGAACAGCATGGATCCTGATCAGACTGAGCGGATGCGCAGTCTGGTCTGGATCCATGCTGGTCGCAAACGCACTATGTTGGTTTTGTTGTGACGCGGCTCATATGTGTTATGAACGATGATTTAATGTGTTCTATATGTGTTATGAATGATGATTTAATGTGTTTTATTTATATTTTCAGCGAGGCTCAGACGAACTCATGTCTCACAGTCCAATGGTTACGACAAATGGTACAGGGCTCAGTCCCTCACAGAATGAAGTCAATGATGCCAAAAAGGTAACACTATAGATACATTATTGCTTCATTGGGATGGAGGATATACATTGTAGGTCCTTCCATGTTATTTACGGTTATATATGTGTAGCCCTACTAACGTGTAACATTATTTATGTGTAGCGTTTAATCTACGTAATTTATGATAGTGGCTTCCCAGGCTGGCAGCAATGTTCATGCAATTTTGACTACATACTAAAATTGTTTGAGGCCCAGTTTTATTATTTTGATATTGAATGCCCTTAATCTCATATTGGGCAGTTCCAAAATGAAAAGTATGACAAGTCCATTTCACAAAATCAGGGTGGTCTTCTAAGTAATACAAAGTGGTTTTATGTTAAATGATGAATAAGAGCCTGGTGAATGGGATGTCACTATGTTACCCAGTAAAGCATTTTAGATGGCCTTCTTTGAAGCACCTATGCCAATTTGAAGAATCAGAATTTTTTTTGCTGAAAAACAAAGTTTGAAAAGTAAAAAATAAATCATCTTGCTTAGAAGCTGATTGTCATAAGGTTTTTGATACTGATACAGCAATGCCGACTTCATTAGTATTATAGGTGTGATAGGTTCAGTGCCAGGGAATGATGGCTCAGAATGTCAAGCATGCCTGTGGTTTGGGCTATAACACTGGTATAAACATTCTAAAACTAACAAAATGTCAAATAATATCAGTAGGAAGTTATGAAGAAATTAGCGGCATGTCATACTAGCTAAATATCGATGAGCGTAGTAATGATAGACGTAAATGTACAAATGTACGTGTTTAGTAGATAATGATAGTCAGTGTCCGAGGCGTTAACCGTACATTACATTGTTTCCTATCCTGTGAGAACCTTTATGTGCATTAAATGAACGCTGTTACTTGTCAACTTTACTTGTTACTGTGTGAACCTTTATGTGTCTTAAACGAGGCTTTTAAAGTACAAATGAAACATAGTTAAACCTCCCACCCGCCCCCCATAAAAACGCATTTACTTACCATTATGACAGTTTTGATAGATCATGGTTTTCATCTGACCGCAGAAATAACATGCAATGCACATTAAAGGTTCTAATCTCGGACAGGTTTTGCCCATCATGTTGAGAAATTTTTACTGACAGCTTCATTATTGCTAATGACTAGGTTTTTACAAAGTGATTACTTGCACTATTTTTTCTAGAGGTATGGAGATTTATTCAGGAAGTTAGAGATACAAAAAACTGATGGGCTTTGTTACTTAATTATCAGTTATTATTTAGGAGGAAAATTCCTTAATTTGAAGCAATACAGGAATGGTGATTGGTTGTTAGAATTAAATAATTGTTCTAAATCAAGGCAACAGAGGTCACGTTGAGATTTTTGTAAGAATTGTCAGCAATGTCTGTCAAATTTTCCAAATTATTTGAGTATATATCTTTTTTAGGGAGCTTTATTATAAATATTTTGAAGCTTTCAATTTCATACAATTTGAAGCATTTTTAATGATTTAGAAAAATGATGAATTATTCAAACTGCATGAATTCTCGTTAAGGATGAAAAAAAAAAGATCAGAAACTATTTCCATTATTCATACTTTGTATGAGCACCTTTTGTGTAATTCATTTCAATAAAGGAATACAATGGGAGATGATTTGATGAAAAAAGCACAGATCGATAATTGTATTCATTGGCAGTTATTTAAAATTGATGTGATTTTCCACATTGTATCGGCCAAGAAAATGCTAATAAAGCCAAGTTCATATAATTCAGATTAGAAATAGGTCTATTATTACGGTATAAATGCAAGATGACAATGACATCTATTTGTTACTAAAAAAAAAAATCAAGGCCACCCTTCACGTCCCATAAAGTCTGATCAGAGTTTAGTATTTGCTCGATTTTTTACCTCCATTCAATAAGAATGCCTAAATAAAAAAATAAAAAATTGAAATTAAGACAGTCTATTTTTTGGAAGTGGTTTTTTCTTTTTTTTTCAAGTAGAAATATTCATTTAAGTGTCCATCTATGAAAATTAGGTCATTCATAAAGTCAGAGGAATAGCTTCAGTTGGTCAAATATATTTACAAATAAAGTGTCAGACATTGCAATTAGCAGGAAGGTAACAAATCCACTTGTTTTCCTCTAAAACCACTAATGAAACAAATCAGCAAAAAGTTGTTGGTGCCCTCAAAAAGTACTTAAGAAACAAAAAGTACAAAAGTCCGAAAAGTCCACTTTGCCCTCAAAAATCGCTAAGGAAACAGAAAGAGAAGAATGTCTGTGATTATAATTATCACCATGTTTCCTTGTGTGTTGACTTCTACTTTATTTCCTGCAAATGTCTGTCAGCTGTCGGGGAATCAGTGACAAGATAAAAAGGGCCAAAAGCCCAATGTTGTCATTATTATTTCAGTAGATCCTGAATGTTTCCTAATTGTATCACGCAATTTCAAGTCAGAGGCATTGATCAGCCTTTCTGATAACACAGATAAAACATGCATACTAGGAAGTGTGTGCTGATTGATTAATAGGGAAGGTTTTAAGATTTTTATTGTATTTTATAGCACCTTTATACTTGGCAAAGTATCATCTCCTTATAATTGCATGTAATCAGGTCTCATCTTTAAACAATTTTGCACGTTTTTTCATGAGATCTTATTAATTTAAGCAGCAATTACCAAGAAGAAATTGGTTATCTGAATTTATTAATGGCATGTTTTTAAGTGTAATTCTGTTCTTTACTGAATTATTTGAAAGTTGGAAGTCTGTAGCCCTGTTTGGTTATGCCACTGGGATTATTTCAGTGTTGAAAAGGGAAATGATATGTCCTAATTTTATAAAAGATGGGTGGTCCAAAGTGAGAAATGGAATGGAATTTATAAGTAATTAGTGGGTTGTGTTGGCAGTTGGTAATTCAAGTGGCAGCCCATTTTAACAGGTATTGGGATGACAGGATGTTATAGGTGGAGTGGGTGGGTGGGTTATACACAGAGTTGATGGATTTGCAGTGTACAGATAGAGATTTGCAGTAGTGCAAACAGTGGTAACATTGATAAGAAATACACCAATTTATTCGTAGTAAATTGATTCAGTCATAATTGTTGATTTACTTAGAATAAAGTTATAAAGTTTTATCGTTCTCAGGAAAATACTGAGATAAAAAAACCCATAAAAGCATAAAATGTTCTTAGTAAATTTACCATCTCAAAGTATCTGTAGGAATAGAAATATTTAATTTGCTTCATAAGATGAAGATTTGATGTGGATTTCATGTCTAAAATATCTGAAGTTTCGTTTCATTAATTTTCTGAGATATTTTCTCATAACATTAGGTAGTTATGGATGATAAACCTCTGGCTGTGTTATAGTAATTACCAGGGTTAATGATTGACATTCTAGTGTGTGTAATTGTCTCCCTTTGCTATAAAATTAATTCTACCAAATAGATTTACCATAAGTATAGCATCTTATGTTACACATAGAGTGCAAGAGACCTGATGATGATAAAACTGGAATGAGTCAATCCCCAGTCCACCAGAATCTATGCTTCATTTGTAGAAACATGGAAAAGAAATTTTTCACCTGTTGAAATTGTGTATTGGATTTGGCCAGCTTTGATTTTGGAACAGCTCATTCAAAGTTCGAGGGATTTCCCAATATCAAAATACAATAATTGAGTTTCCAACAGTATACAAGGCCTGAAAAGACTGTACGGATGAGCAGACTGGCCTGGCTCTATACTGATGACAAAGGCTAAGTCATTTATGACCCGAGCAGGCTATAAGGGTTTGGTTGAATTCTATTAATAGCCACTCAAATATGGTAATGTTAAAAATTTGGGACATTCTTCAATTACGTCTTCTACAAACTTGAAAGTCATTGCTCTGTTCATTAATTATAACCCTCAAAAGTAATATCTTAATACCATTGTAATTATTATTTTATTTAAAAATACATCATCAGGTTCAAATCACACACAAAACAGCAGCAACAACAAAATATTCAAATCATGAAAAAGGGCATACAATTTCATTTAAAAGTCTGAAAACTTTGTAACCTGTAACAATTTAAAGCTTACAAAACATCAAAAATGTCCCCAATAAACTATGGTCATTCATTCTAAAAGTTGATTTTATTTTATGCAAGGGTACAGATCGGATGATTTATTTTATATAAAAACTCAAACATGTTCGTAAAAAAAGTATGTCTTAACAAATTGTAGTATTCTGTGCTATATAAAATTTGATAAAGGTTGAATATCCCTTTTAGTGTCATAAGAATATTAATATCGTCTGTCGTCACGTCTCGAGTGACCCGAATTAGATCTTTAATCTTTTAAACAATTTCAAAAACGTAAAATTAATCAAAATGATATTCTCTTGTTTGAACGAGGTCAAATTCAGTGCTGACAGATTAGACCCAATATACTGTATGCCGTATAAAAATAGGTTTTTACTTAGTAACAGGGAAAATATTTATGCGTAATTTAAAATCGCACAAGGTGTTTTTACTTCATTATCAGCATTATTACATGACTTAAATGAAGTTTATGTCAATGAAAAAATGTTGAAATTGAGTGGGCGAGGTTTTGAAAAGATTGTATGAACTGTATTGTCATGCTTTTTGAAATAAGAGCATGATTATTAAATTGTGGATTTTGAAATAAGTCTCATATATTTTTACTTGTCTCATTTTGTTAATTTTATTTATTGCTAATTTTTTTTTATTCAATTTTGATTGTATTTCTAGTGCAAAAAAAGGGGAAAATCCGATACCTATTATAGGTCAATACACAATCATGTAATGTCTTGCTTTGAATATAATTTTATACTTAAAGCTTAAAATTTTTATATTTGAGGATCGAAAAATTGAATGTTTAAACAGTAAATATGAACTAGTAACCTTGACCCTGAAGGCTTTAAATTGAAAAATATGTCCTTGGCTAGTACTTTTCTTGGACTGTGAAATGTTAATTTAATTCTTTAATAATTTTTAAAGCCCTGACAAGCATTTTGCATTTATTTAAAAAAAAGAAAGATAA